CACTATGAAGTGTGGACTTGTAGTGATCCTCTTGTCTCAGCCTCCCCAGCACTGGGATTACAGGTGTGCATCACCATGCCTGGTTGCAGTGGCCAGCTGAGAGCACCTGGGGACAGGGCCAGTGCCAGCAGCATGTGGTGCTGGGGATAGAACCCCCGCCCTGCGCTTGCCTAAGTAGGTGCTTAGTCTGCTGAGCTATCCTGCCCGCCTGTAGTGGTTGATACATTGTGTCAACTTGGCTGGATCATCGCAGTCTGCAGGTGGAGGTCCCACCCTGGGGCACAGTTGGTTCTGCCCCTAGAGTGACTCAGCACAAAGAGACTATATAAAGGGGCAGAGGAAGTAGTCGAAGTTCCACTTCGTAGGAGGAACTTCAGTCTTCGCATTCAGCTTGGACTTCATTGCCTGGCTGGCAGCGCAGACGCTTCAGCCTCTGGCTTGGATCCTTCACCTTCCATCTCAGACTCTTCAGCCTTCCCTCGCAGACCCATCAGCTGATGAATAGAGACTTGCACGGAGCACAGCAGTGAGCTTCATAACTTGGGACTGAATTCTTTAGTCCGGGGTGTGCAGACGCCCTCTGCACGCTACCTCATCTGACTCTAGGGCTGACTGTCCTATGCCAATCTTGTAATTCCTTATACATTATATCCCTTGTGTTAATATCTGTTCCTTAAATTATATATCTGTTCCTCTAAGTGAAACTCTGACCAGTACACAGCTCTTGTGTAGAAGTTTTGAAAAGGATTTCTAAAGTTTCCTTTGAGGTCTTCTAGCTCTGAGTGGTGCATTGAGAATTTCCCACTGATTATGATTCTGGGCAGTTGCCGCATATTCTTCTTGCCAGGCAAGAAACCAAAGGGATTGTTTTCAAATGTAATGCAGGAGTAATGAGCTTTTAACAAAGAGGTCTGAGCCATCACATGTGTGGCTGTTTATTCATTTTGATTCTGTATTTTTCATGTATTTTAGAGCCAGGGATTTCCTGCCAGGTGTCAGACTTGTTCTGGACCCCAACCCCCCAGTGAACAGAAGTGGTAGCGGCTGGTGCCTGGGGAAGGCTCGGCCTCCAAAGCTGAATGCCTCCCGCTTGTGTTTCCTGAGGGGTGGGAGGAAAGGGCCCTGGGCTGCTGCCCGGCTTGCTGGCTGTGCACTAGAGCGTCGAGAGTCCCAGTATCGCCACCTCTGCGCTTCAGAGCGTTGTCTGTGTGTGCAGTACGGGCAACAAGACCAGCCGATAAAACTGAGCTCTTCCAGAGAGTTAAGGAGCGCTTATCCCTCCTTAGCTGTCCCAGTCCTTTTTCCCGAGGGGGCAGACACACTCCAAGTCTGTAGCGGAGTCAGACTTTGTGTCATGCCCTCTCCCTGCCTATCATGTCGCCCTGATTGACCTTTGCCAGCTGTATGTAGCCTGAGCTCTGACAGCATCTCTGTCGCCAGGTCCTGTCTGAAGCCGAGTTTCCTGGGAGTGGAGCTTTAGCCACGCTGCCCCAATGCCTTCCACCTGGGACGCTGTTTCCATTTCCGTACACTAGTGAGTGTCACTCATATCTCATTGCCTTTCTGGAATTTCATTTCCTTGGGGACCTTTTCTAGATCCCCAGCTCCATCCTTTCTTACATTAAGAGGAACTCATGGGCCATCCCGAACTGGGATTCTTCCCATTGTCCATGGTACACGCAAGTCAGGTAATGAGCAGAGGCAGGCAACAGCCTCATTTTTAGAACTGCCATGCAGCGTGTGGTCGTCCTCTGCTGGACGTGGACGCCGTGAGAGGCACTCTCCTGACACGGCAACTGGGAGAGGGCGGCAGCACAGCGCTGGCAGAGGGCTCGCCTGAGGGCACACAGCGGGTGGGTGCGGAAGCCCCTACTGCAAGGCAGGTTTATCTGATTGAGGGCTCTGACCCATTCTGCACTCAGTTTACTGAAGGAGGGAGACTTTCACGATGCACTGTTGAATTTTAAAAGGCAGGTTACCTGTGCTGGGTTCCAGTGGACCCATTACTGGGAGAAGAATATGTGAATCCAGAAATTATTTTTAAAAATCGCCCCACGTATTTTCTGTTCTCAGTAGTTCCTCCTCCCCACTTCCTTGAGCTCCTGGTAGAGGCCGCCTACTGAAGCTGTGTGAGTGGACCACAATGGAGTTGGCCCCTCCAGCCCCATCTAGGCTTCAAATCACTGCTGCTGGCCAAAAGCTGGGCAGTCACCTTGGAAAGGACTCCAGCACTCCCAGCAGAACCACTTCCAAACTCCTAACTCTGAGAAACTGTGTGAGATGAGAAATGTTTATTATTTTAGATCCATGAGTCTTGGGCTATTTGTTACACAGCACAAGGTAGCTGTTACAGACTTTGGCCACAACCCTACTTCCTGTTTCTTCCACCACCCCATAAGGCCATCAGATTACAATCTGAGGGATAGAGTCATCCACTTGCTGGTGTTAGGGCCCTCATGATTCAGTCGCTTCCCAAAAAGCCATCAGCAGACAGCAGAGTCTTAGCACACGAATTTGGGGGATATTTCAAATGAGATTTAAGGACTGGATACCAAGGAAGATCAAATCAAAGACATACTCAGGAAAATGTGGCCTAAGGATGAAGAGAAGGGTGTGCTAAGTGCTCTGTAAGGACATGAAGAGACATGGGGGCCAGTGGACTCTTGAGGCACAGCCTGGGGCTTCTGGGCAGCTCCTAGGTGCTGTCTCTCAGCCATCTCAGCGGAAGCCAAAGCAGAGGCCTCCGCGTGTGCTGTGCTGCTGTAACACAATACTCCAGGGCGGGCAGGGCATAAAGGCATTTATTTGGCTCACGATTCTGGTGGCCAGAGGCCCAAACAGCACGGGGTGAGTATCCAGCAGGGCTCTGGCTGCATCACTCCATGGTGGAGAAGTAGAAAGGGACCCAGCTACATACAGAAGGGGACATGCATGAGCAATGAGGCAAGGAGGACTGGGGGTGCTCTTTCCCAACAACCCACTCTCCCAGGAGCTAGTCCCCTTCAAAGGACGAGCACCAAGCCCTTCACACGTGGAGCCTCTATGCACGACCTAACTGCCTTCCCGTAGGCTCCACTGCTTAATGCACCAACTTGCAGCGCATGCGCCTTGGGATGCACTCAAACCCTGTCCTAACTGTAGCAGTAGAGATGGCTTCCGTTAAAGGGGTCTGTGGGCATGGCTGATGGGATGAATGGCAGTGAAAGAAAAGGCAGGATGACTCAGGGACAGGACTAAGAGCTGGGAAGGAGATTTCTGGGCAAGTAGAGGAATAAATCCAATCAAGGAACTCCTGCACGCTTCTAGGTGGGTTCAGAACTGCTATGGACCAGTGACTCCCATACTTCCTGTTTCTGCCCTTACATAGGGGACATCCTGTGCCTGTCCCAGCCCAGTGTGTGAGATGTGTGAGGGATAGATGGCCAGACTCCTTAGATCACTAATCTCCTTGAGGAGCTGACCTTAAGTAGCCCCTCTCTATACCTTCACCAAATTCAGGTGAGAAAGTTGTAGCTGGTGCTGCAGTGGGATGCGATTTAGGGGTCCTCAGGAGGGAGCAAGAGCATCTTACAAGTGAGAGGGGGATGAACCCCACAGAGTCTGAGGGCAGATGGCTGGTGGCCAGCTTCCAAGACAGTCACCAGTAATTCCTGCCTCTTGGTACTCAGACTATTGCCCAAGCCCCCTTTCCACGCAGGACTGAGCTGACCTGTGTGACCAGTAGGCTACTGAAGAAATGACAGAACGACCTCTGAGGCTTTCTTCTGATAAAGACTGAAGGCTCCACACTGCTGCTTGGACCACTTGTTCTGGGGAGCCTGCTGCCCTCCTGGAGGGCACCCAGCAGCTCCGAGGAGAGGTCCAAGGGAAGAACCGAGGCTCCGGCCAAAAGCCACATGGGTGCATGGGCCTTGTCAAAAGCAGATTCTCCAGCTCAAATGACCAGAGCCCCAACCGAATAACTTGACTGCAACCTTCAGACAAACCCTGAGCCATAGCCACCTGGCTAGGGGACCCCCAAATTCCTGACCACAGAAACTACACTACACTGGTTTTTATGTAGGGCGTATTTTAGGCACTAGGTATTAGGGTAATGTTTTATGAAACAACTGATAAATAATGCACATTGTAGGTTAATTTTACATCGAAAGACAAAAACTATTCTAGTTGATGGTGTACTCATTAAAATACTTAGGGAACACTACAGGTGGTGAAATCTAATTTCAAGTGCATCAGAAAATAAGACGGGTTAAGACAGGAGGATGTGGGGGCTGGTGAGATGGCTCAGTGGTCTAAAGCATCTACTTAGAACAAGCTTAGCAAAGCACAGGGACCGTGGTTCAATCCCCCAGCACCACATGCCAGCCAGCCGTGCCCCTGGTGGGCTGAACTGGCCACACACACACACACACATAAATAAATAAATAAAATTAAAAAAAAAAAAAAAGACAGGAGGACGTACCTACAGATAGACAAAGTGTGCACAGCAAAATGTTAACAGTAGCATCAAGTGGGAGTCTCCATAGAATGACTTTTGGCTTTGCTGTATGTTTGAAAATTTTATATGAAACCATCTCGGTGAGATTGCTGAGTGCTTTTGAACTTGGGTGTTAGGTACATGGGGTTCATTTGATGATAAGCATGATGCAAACTGCAAGTGCACTTTTACTTTATTTTTTGGACGTTCTGGGGGTCACATCTGGGACCTAACACATGTTAGGCAAGAGCACTAAGCCTGAGCTATGGCCCCAGCCCTCGCTTGCTCTTCGGTTTCTATAGTCCTGCAGTGACGATCATTTCAGTGGTGGAGGAAGGGAGCTAGGTGGAGACTCTTGGGCAGGGCCTGGAGGGACGGAGGCTCCTGTGGCCTCTGAGGGGCCTAGGGCTGAACAGACAGGGACAGAGGACAGGAACTGACCCCGGAGATCACGGAGGATACCTGGGGGTCACGCCCAAGGTGCTGGCAACTGGCCGTTCTGCCGCTGAGCTGTTCCAGCGGAAGCAGCGGCAGGCGAGAAGTCCATCCACAGTGCCTCGAGGGATTCTTGGGATTGTGGTAGGCAAAGAGGATCGCGAGGGCAGTGTATCTGCACATGCACAGCCACGGCATCTGTGCAGATGCTGCTGCCTGTATGTGCATTTGCACGTGCTCGGGCACACACTGGGCACACACTCAGCACATGGGCAGGGGCTCTGCACATGTACAACATGGCAGGCAAATCCAAGGATGAGGATGACATGGCTGACTTTTATTTGTTTCCTTACTTCTGGTTTATCTTGATTTTCTTTTCAACAACTGACCATGCTCTGTATTTTAGAATCAGAAAAAAATGGACAAAAAGCAAGACTCGTGATGGATGGCTCTGCACCCAGCCCAGATGCATCCCCAGAAGCCCTGGTACACACCTTGCTTGATGATGGGGGACCGGTGGTCCATGACGAAGGAGAACATCTTCCCCCTGGCGCTCATGGGCCGCTGGTGGGGGTCAGGTGGGACCCCGGTGGGCCTGGGGAAGTCCTGGGACCAGCTCCGCTGCACAGGTGCCGGCTGGATGCCCTGGTGGAACGGGAAATGCGGAGGCAAGAGCGACGCGTTCGGCTGCTGGGTGGTCCGAGGGGGTTGTGGCCTTGGCCAGGGTGCTGGGCCCCTGACCCAAGGGCACGAGACCTGCAGAGGCAGACCAGGGGTCAGAAGAGGTCACCCCTCTGGGGGACCAAGGGCTTTCCTCCCACCTCGCTCACCACTGTCCTCACACCATCTGGGACGGACAGCTGGCCACTAAGGAGTATGTCCTCAGAAAGTGGCTGACAGCAAGAGACTGTTCCCTTTCTACTCATACTTCAGCTCTCTCCTCTGCCCCCAAGTCTGAGTGCCCTGGGGCCACAGGGACTCTAACCATCTTATCAGCCTCCTCTGGACATCCTCACGCCTCATCCCACAGGTGCTCCGTCAAGCCTATCGAGTTGCCTGCTGCATCCACACCTCAGTCTCCCACCTAACCTCACTGCCTTCCTGTGGCTTCCAGAGCTCAGGTGTTGTTCCCTGCCGTGCTGCCTTCCCCACCTTCCAGAGCTGGCTGGCCTCCTTCCAGTGCGTGGCTCCCACTGGTTTAATTGATACTTAGGGATGAATGGACTGAAGGGGATGGAGTAGATGCAAAGACATTCTGTCCCACCTTCAGAGCACACATCTAGAATTTTCTAGATCAGCTGTGGTGCACAAATCCACTCATGTTGCGATGTTGTGAGAGGAGTGTGTTTCAGAGCTGAATGAGCCTCACAGTGAACTAACTTCAAGGGTGGTAAGGAGCGCTTGTGCCTCAGGCCTCTGGGGTTCAGCTTGCTACTAGACAGGCAGATTCTGGGCAACCTCCCTTTCCCCATTCTCAGCCCACTGTTGTGGGTGGGGTTCGGCAATCAGCCAATTGCATGCCCTGGCCATGGGGATTGGTTGAGGGTTGCAGCCTCTGAGCCAATCAGAGCCAAGCAGTCCCAGGAGGACCAGGCAGGAACCCCCATCATGCCGACTTCCTTGAACTCAAGAAAGTATCAGCTAGAAAAGAGAAGGAAGCTGGCTTTTTTAATTGTAAAAAGAAATGAGGCATAAAATTCACCATCTTAAACATTTTTTCAGTGTACAGTTCAGTAGTGTTAATCTATTCAAATTGCTGTGAAATATATCTTCATAAGTCTTTCATCTTGCAAAAATGAAACTATTCTCCTTCAACTCCCTCTACTCTCTAGGCCTCTGGTTTTGCCAGGTGGTGTGTGTGTGTGTGTGTGTGTGTGTGTGTGTGTGTTTTGGTTTGTTTCATTTGTTTATTCAGATGGAAATCATGAGTTGCCAAAGCCCAATTTTAGTAGCATTTCTGATGCCACCAGACCATGCTGGATAATGTCACCACCAGCTGCTGGCACTGCTGCTTAGGGCACCCCAGGTCCAGGTCAAGCCTGCCAGGTGCCGATCTGGTAGCTGATCATCACCGGTTGCTGGACTCTGAAGCGCTTCAGAGCTAAGAGCTTTTAGTGTTTTTGCACTTTCTTTCAAAGGACCCATTCTGTCCCAACTACTCCGGCTAAGAATCCTGGGTAGGTTCACAGGACCTTCCACATCCACATTATCTGAGAAATAAACCATGAACAGATTTACAAGGACCACTGGAGCAAGTCTTTTTTTTTTTTTTTTTGGTGGAAATGGGGATTGAACTCAGGCCCTAGCGCTTGCCAGGGAAGCACTTATTCTACTGAGCCATCTCCCCGGCCTCCCTCAAGTCTTTTTTTTAACAGACCTGTGCAGCAGCACCCCAGGATTAGGGGAAGTTGGAACAGACAAGAGTCCACCAACACCAACCCAGCAAGGCCATGAGGTGCTGCTGGTGCAGCAGCTTTAGCTTGTGAAGGGTCTAGTGTAGGCCTGTGATTGGTTCAAATTGAGGTCTGCTGATTGGTCTAAGTGCAGGCCTATGATTGGTTCAAGTGGGTGAGGGGCAGCTGCCTGGTGGAGATTCAGTGAGGGGCCTAAGCAGCTGGACGGTTTGATTGACAGCTGCGGTGCAGCTGAAACTGGGCAATGTTCAGGACAGCTGCTTGTGTCCCTTGGAAGTTGAGGAATTGGGGGTTATTCCTAATGGGCCCGATCTCTCCTTTCCTAATCTCAGCTTTGGTAGGACGATTTCTTTGCTGCTTCTGGAGTGGAGCACACAGGAGTGACATGGTGGCTGACAGCTGAGCTGTAATCCAGCTGGATCTGTCTGGAAGAGGTGTCCACTGAGGACACCAAGGACACAGTCTCGGTCCACAGTGGAGGGGAAGATGATGAGGCGGAAGAGCATGACAGCTCTTGGCCAAACCAGGCCCCCTCTGGCTGGCCCAGCAAGAGGAGAGTCAGACGCTGTCATCTGTCTTGCTGTACCACCCCTTCTGTTTCCAGTCTCTGTGAATCTGACACCTCTAGGTAGCTCCTACTGGAGGAATCAGACCACATCTTTCTTCTTGTGATATACTCGAGGGTCATCCATGATGAGCCTGTGTCCAAATCTCTCTCTCTCTCTCTCTCTCTCTCTCTCTCTCTCTCTCTCTCTCTCTCCACATTCACAGTGGACTCTAATTCACAGTGTGACTCTGAACCACTGGTGGTACTTGGCTCACTGTCTCACTGGACAGCATGGGTCAGTCTCTCCAGGTGGTACAAGTCCCCTACTTGATGGGACAACCATGCATGTACCGCCGGTGGTTCAGGCGGGCGGAACCTGGTGAGGCTGGGTACCCTCCGTGGCATGGCTCGACCCTGTTTCGACCCTGTTTCTTCTCTCTGTACTATTGATGAACACTTGAGTTTATGACACCCGCGACATGAGGGTTCAAAAATAAAGGTCCCTGCCAATGGCTGTTGATCTAGGGTGGCTTTAGCTGTAAGCTTAATGTTGAAATTTTTCTCCGTGGAAGCCCTGATAAAGGAGGTCAAAGTCTTCTCAGATATCACTGGTAGGCACAAGGAGACCCCCAGGCAGAAAAACACAAGTAGAAGACACTGCTTGAGCAGCGAGCTCTGGGTAGGCTCATAATAGAATGTTCAGGGTCCCAGCCTAGGGGTGTCCATAAGCCTGGTTTGAAAAATTTTAGTTTAAAAATAACAAGAGCTGCCCAAACAGCTTTTCTCCTCCCAGCCCCCCTCCCCCATCTCTGGCTTGCTTTCGAGGCAGCTGGATTCTTCTGCACAATCCTGGGCGACTCTAACCTCCTGGACATCACTGGCGGCTGAATTTCTGCTGGCTTGAACAAACACCAGCCAATGATTTTCTCAAGAAATCCCAGTCCACTTCTCCCAATTACTGGCCCTGTCTTTGCATTATCACCCCAGTTATTATTTTGCCAGACTGTATTACTCCCTGGGCCCCTGAGTTTGTGGAAGTGGTCTGCGTGCTGGCAGTGCTGGTGGTGTGCCCCACAAAGATCTCCTTTGAGCCCCCATCGCAGACTGTTACTTTGTAGCTGGAAATTGGTCACCGTGGGAGTGTTACACCTTAGGAATCAGGGCTTTGCATTTTGTTTTGCTGACCTTCTAGCTTAACAAGGTGACTGGGAAGACATTAAGGACCCACATGGGGGGCTGTGTCTGCACAGCGTGGACAGCATGAACAATGGAGGTGACATCCTTCTGCCGAGAGGTCTCTCGGTCACGGTCATCAGGTCAGTGATAGATGTGATACACGAGGTCCCCCGCCTTTCCTATCTCACTTTTGTGTTACTTGGGAAGCTGAGCAATAAATATCCACCAGTGTTCAGGCTGGATGCTCACTCTCTTGTCTGTTGTCATCGTAAACCTCCCACCGTAGGGCTCTAAGTGTTGGCCAAAAACCAATGAACACAATCAGTGAGAGCCACAGGCCCTATGGAGTTTGCAGAGAGGGTGGTATATTTTATTGTTTGAGGAACGAGTGTCACCATGTTTTATGTCAGTAAACTTATCCATGCCTGCTTTGCTTTTTCGGAGGGCGCTATGCCCAGCACTGTGCCTGGCACACACTGCAGGAGTTTGCTGGCAGAACCAGGCTCAAGATGGGCAAACAGTAAGTGAAAAAGTAAAAAGGCTTCTGGTCATTCTGGGGATTGGGCAGGGAAAATACAGCATGAAACTGGAGCAGCTTGATAGGGCAAAAAATGAGGGTGTGCTAAAAAATGAAGCAAAAAATATATGACTGGAGGCTTTGTCAGGTGGAATGACCTCTCCAGAAGCACCCAGCAATCAAGGGTGACACAATCCAAGCCGCACAGTACATGACAATGAGGTAGATTATAGCCCTGAGTATAAAACAAATACACACGAACCCTGCTGACATAAATCCATGATTGAGTACATGAATATCTGCTGGAGAAGGTGCTTATAAAACAATTCAATGGGGGCCTGGCAGATAGCTCAGCGGTGTAGGTGACTGCCTGGCAAGCACAAGGACCCAAGTTCGATCCCTGGTAACACATGCCGTGCTGGACCTGGAACCCCAGGAGTACTGTGCTGGCCACTGAAACAGGGCATGGTGGCACATGCCTGTAATCCCAGTGCTGGGGAGGCTGAGACAGGAGGATCACTATGAGTCCAGATTGTGTAGCAAGACCTTGTATCAAAAGAGAAGAAAAAAAAGAAAGAGAAAAAGAATTTAACAGGGCGGAGGATATATAGCTCAGCGGCACAGCACCAGCCTGGCAAATACAAGGTCCAGTTCCCAGGACCAAAACAAACCGTAAACCCCCCAGCCCC